AAGGGGCAGTGGGTGCAAGCTGGAGCATAGGGGATTCTGTGTGAACATAAGGAAAAACTTTTTCACTGTGAGGGTGACAGAGCACTGGAACAGGCTGCCCAGGGAGGTTGTGGAATCTCCTTCTCTGGAGACATTCAAGACCCGCCTGGACGCCTTCCTGTGTAATCTCATTTTGGTTCCTGCTCCGGCAGGGGGGGGTTGGACTAGATGATCTTTCAAGGTCCTTTCCAATCCCCAACATTCTGTGATTCTGTGATATACTGCCTGCCTCTGCAGTACATGAGAAAGATTAGCTGAATACTCTAGGATGTAATTTACTTTCTTAAGCAGTGGCTATTATTCATGTCTTTAATTCAGCCAAGGGAAGAGATGGTGCTAAGTGGAAAATACAAGACTGGTGAACAAATACTTCGTCTAGCAAATGAAAGATTTGCAGTTCCAGAAATACTCTTCCATCCTTCGGATATTGGTATTCAAGAGATGGGAATTCCTGAAGCCATTGTTTATTCTATTCAGAATTTACCTGAAGGTATAACCTAAAATTATTTTGAAAAGTGTGCGGGGAGGAGAGTGTGGGGAGTTTTGAGTTTGTTTTTGTTGTTGTTTTGGTTTCGGTTGGTTGTTGTTTTTTTGGTTTGGTTTTTTTTTTTTAAGCATCCAAAGTGTCTTAAGAAGCTAGTGCTCTCAATATGCCAGTTATTAAGTTGTTGTGAACTGTTCTGTCATCTGGTGTGTGTCATATACTCTGGAACTGATTGTCTACAAGATTCTCTGTTAGGCAAACACAGTTTTGTGGCGATTTATCGATTGGTTTCTATTCCTGTTTCAGTTAATTGCTGTAGACTTAACTCTCCTCGACATCCTTTTCTAACATGACATATCTGTCTTTGATGCTAATGATGGAATATACGTGAAAGTAGTTATAGTTGTGTTTTAAAACAGTTTTCTTCACTGGAAGAAGAGAAAACTCAAACTGATGGGAAAAAATGAAACTGACCAAACCCGGTAATTTAAGCATCAAAGTATAAAGCCTTTCTGACTGCTCAATTGTCAGAAGTAATAGTAAAGCTTTCGCTTTATAGATATAGATGATGTACATGTAATTAATGTTATTACTACAAAGAAGACTTTCATAGGTTTTATGATACCACATAAGCATTGAGGGTATTATTTAGTACTCTTAAAAAATAAAAGTATAATTTAAAATCCCTTTTGAAAGTGGAATTTTGTTGGCAGACATGAAATGTAATATAAGAAAACAGTAGTTTTCAAAGCCAAATTCTAAAAATCATAAAGAACAGAGGGTGATTGATCACTTTCTTGTATTTCTCAATAAAACTATTTAACTGATGTGATCATTAAATGATCATAAAATTCTTCTATGCATATTTCTTCTGTTCCAATTCATAACAAAATTGGGAAAAAAACCTTGAAATATATATTCAGTGTCTAACTAGAGATTTACTTGTTTATTTTACAGAAATGCAGCCTCATTTCTTCAAGAATATAGTTCTCACTGGCGGAAACACCCTTTTTCCAGGCTTCAGAGATCGCGTTTATTCTGAAGTTCGATGTCTTACTCCTACTGATTATGATGTTTCTGTTGTTCTTCCTGAAAAGTAAGTTCTAAACTGTACAGAACAAGCTTTGCCCTTCTAGCAGAACAAACTATAAAGTAGGATTTCTTTTGCTGATTGAAAAAATAGATTGAGTAAAGGGGTTAATTTGAATATTAAGTGAACCAGAATTGTACAAGAAATACATTTTAAATCATTGTATTTTCAGATAAACCAAATTGGAGACCATTTGCTTCCCCTGTATTTTGGCTAATGAAATTAAGCATATAAGTAAGTGTTTTTAGGATCAGTCTTTTTACTGTAAACAGATAAATAAGACTGCATTGTCATTAAGTGGAACATAAATATGCAAGATTAGAGTTTAGTCTTTTACTTAGAAGAATTTTCAGCATCTGAATGCTGCCATGTCATTTTTAACATACCCACTTCAGAGATTTGGAAAGGGCAACAACTTTGCAGAGAGAGAGAGAGAGAGAGTATACAGCTGAGACAAAACAAGTATATCTTGAAAGTACAAAAAGTCTTTACTTTTTTTAAAGTATTAAAGAGTATTTTTAAATATTATTAAAGAATCATTATCTGGGCAAAGTAAATACAAAGACTTCCTGCCCTCTTCACACCTGCCTCCAAAGAGGTGCTTGCTTTTTATAAAAAAGTCAGTTAGCCCTGCTGAAATTTCACACTTTGTCTCATAACTTGTCCGGAGCTGAATGGTTTGATTTAGCACTTAAAAATATATTTTTAAATAGGTATGGCTAAATAAAAGTCTTGGAAATTATCACTGCATGCTTCTATTTAAGCTTACAGATAAATATAAATAAATTCTATAAATTAATTTACAGATGAGTAACAATAACTCTGTTCATTTTTCAGCCCTATTACTTATTCTTGGGAAGGTGGGAAGCTCATTTCTGAAAATGATGATTTTGAAGACATGGTAGTAACTAGAGAAGATTATGAAGAACATGGACACAACATCTGTGAAGAGAAATTTGATATATAGGTAGCATAGTTGAATACAGTGTTATTCCATTGTTTTACTCAGAATGGAACTCTGAACCACAACCTGTTTTCTTCTAGTTAGGATTGTGTTTTAGCTTTCCTGTATTTAAGTGGGTTGGGAAAAATAATTTTCAGAGTTTAAAAATAAGGTTTTACAAGCCTAATACTATGAAATAATATGTTCATTGTCATTTCAGTACGTTCTCATCTTTTCCTGTAGCTTCTTTGTATTCTTATTGCAGATAACCTCAGTGCATCAATAAAAATACTGAATGCGGGTACTAGTGTGACACTAATATGTAGTTTTATAGAAATCAAGATTATTATTATTATTTTTTTAATGAATATTATTCTAACTCATGCATGCAGTTGAATGGACATTAAACACATCTCAGAAGGTCTCTTTGAGATTGCCTATCTTGAAAAGGAATACGTAGGTTTTACTTTTGGTTATTTTAGTGAATAGCCATGAGAGGAATATACTTGAAATGTGACTGCTGCTATTGAAAGTATACTTAGGCTTTGAGCATAGAGTAATTTGAAAAATTGTTTTTTAAAAAGGGGTTTTGGGTTAGTAAGTTGTGGGGTTTTTTATTTGGTTTTTTTGTTGTTGTTGTTTTAAACAATAGCTGAGCAAAAAACTTCTTGCTGCTCCCCTCGCTTTTCTGAAAAGGTGACATCAGAAGCTGCCTGAGGTGAACGAATCTTGCTGCTGTGTCCTGGGCAATCCCATCTGTGTGTTCTAGATAAACACAAATGCCCCAGCCTGTACCTGTTACTTCTGTTTACAGAGTAAAGGTGGCATCAGAAGCTCTGTTACTGTGCCACCAGTCTGTGCAGCATTGTGTGCAGGAGGGGAAAGGGCAGCAGGATGGGGTAATAGCCAGACAGAAGCTTAGGAGGACTGCACCAGTTGAGGGTGCCTCACCTGCCTCACTTGGGTGCTGGGACAGAGGCGGGTACTACGACAGGGTGGATAATGGACATGCAGGTACTGACACTGATCTTGACCTGATGCAGCTTATGGCCACAGGGGAATTGCGCATTGGTGAAACTGGGTGGCATCAGATGTGCAGAGGAGTATTCTGTTCTCAGCTAAAGTCTAATGTTTCTTCTCTTGTCTGCCCCTGTGTAAAACCAGTAAGTGTACTTACATGGTATGTGTACCTAGCTTGGAACAGAGAGCACTGACTGACTTGGGCAGTTGATGGCAGGGATCAAGCAGAGGCTTCACTGGATTTCATGCCCATCCAGTGGTCCTTGACAAGGTCCAGAGAGGGGCACGGTGATAGGTTCACTGGACTAGCCCTTGGCTAGCAGCCAACACAGCTGTTCACCCACTGCCCCCTCCACCCCCAGGGCACAGGGGAGAGAATTGGGGGGCAAGGGTAAGGAGGCTTGTAGGTTAAGATAAGAACAATTTAATAATAGAAATAAAAGAAAACTTAAAATAATACTAATATTAAAAGAGTAGTGATAATAATAACAGTAACAAAATATACAAATGAATGATACACAGCGCAACTGTTCACCACCCACCGACCAAGCCTGTCCCGGTCCCAGATAACGATCCCAGAGGAGTGACAATCCTGAAACCACAATTCCAGAAGAGTGAGAGCCTGAGTGAAATCCAGAGAGAGCCAAAAGAGGAAGAGACCCTCACTAATATACTGAGCATGACATGATATAATATAGAATATCCCACTGGCATATCCAAATGCCAGTTTAGCTTATTAATTTAAATATTCCTCACCCCCTTAGATCTGGTGCTTGTAGACTAATGAAACACAAAGTCCTTCACTGTCAGTGACAAAAATGCAAACATTGGTATGTTACCAGTGTTTCTCTTATAACAAATCCCAGGCTGAAAGCAAAACACAGCAATATTCTAACTACTGAAAAAGAAGCCCAGCTCTTTCAGCCAAAAACCAGGACAGGCACTCTGAAGCACACCAGATACTGTTACCTTCTTAGAAATTGTTCTTGGTGACAATCTGTGACCCAAAGGTAATTGATATAGTTCAATGGTCAGAGCTGTGAACAGGGGAAACAAAGGTGTATACCACCAGCACCTGGGCGCACTGATAGCATTAAGATACAGGGATACCCTCTTCTCTGGCTTCCATTTCTCTTCAGATGAGCACATGGAGTTAGAGCCATGTTGTACTAATCAACACTGCAGATTGTCCTCAGCTGCTCCTGTTGCTACCCAGAAGTCTCAGCATAAGGGCAATATAGAAAAGCCAACATTTCTGAGAAGAGGAGATCCTGATAAGTAACCACAATTTTCTGAGATGATCTTCTTGAATATAATCTTTTTTTATTTCAAACTGCCAGCTCTTGGTGGCTTTCCTCCAGTCTAACCTTCTGAAAGGAATGGAAGAGGTACCTTCCTGCTCCTGTTAATAGCTACATGAGCCACACAAGAGGCAGCTAAGGTATTAATGCAGAACATCACCTACAAATTCTTGGGATAGAGCTGTTGTATTATTCTGTGTAAGGAAAAACAGGACATGAGTAAGTCTAGTACACTTATTTCAGTAGCCACATGTAGAGGCCCTTGTGTCTGACCTCTAGTTTTTTAACTAACTGCTTCACAAAATTATCAGCTTGCTTTAGCTCGGACTTAAAATACAGAAATATGCATGTTGTTCCCATAAAAGCAGCAATGAACCTTGGTAGGAGCAAACATGAATGCTCTATGAACAGAAGCAAGCCTCCTCACTTTGAAGATAGTATCACTTGTTCTTTGATAAAACTGCACTGGAAAGTACCTCTAGACTAAACTCTTCATTCTGGAAATTTTATACTTCAAATACAAATTCATACTGGCAATTAATTTGATAGGTCTATTGTAAAAATCATAAATACAAAGTGAGTGAGAGGTCCAAGTTTTCCTACCAGATAATTCTGTGTCAAATACTGTTAAAAATAAGTGACAGAACTTTCTGAAGTCAAATAAAATTTTCCTGAATTTTGTAATGTAACTGAAACGGTAACAATGAAAACTAGTAAGTGGTAGGTCAGCAGACTTATTCCATTCAGCAGGTGCTTCCTTATACTTAAATGTAAAATATCAAGTTTCTTTCACCAGAAAACTAAAAATGAGTAAGTCCTCCTGTCAGGGTAGGTGAATAAAATTCCTTTCCTTTGTCTGAAAAACCTGATCAACCTTGACTTCTTCTCCCATGAACTGCAGCAAAGCACCTGGCAGCTATAAACTCCTACTGTGCAGTTGAAGCATTTCCTTAATGTTTGATACCTGCTTCTTCACTTGCTGAGCTGCCTCTTCCTTATGAAAGCACTGTGAAATTATAGACTTGATTCATCACTTTTTATGCAATGCTTTTATTATCATCTTTGAATGAGCACAAGAAAATTCTAATCAAGTCACAAAGTGCAAGATTTTATTTAAAAAAAAAAAAAGTTTTTCCCAAAGCAATTCCCAGTCCATCTATCCTATAAATTACCATGTTATCTCTCCCTATTACCAGGTTCAGTATTTTGAGCAAGATCCAGTAAAGAGACTGAAGGGGGACAAATTAAAATCACATTCTCCCACTGCTCAACAATGGAAGCACTTAATCAGGAAATACTTTCCTGTTTACAATCCTCAGTAACCTACTTCCATACGTATTCCCTTTTCTAGACTGACCAAACCTGCCCCCCTCAGGCTAGAAAAAAAATACATGTGGACCTGTAGTCTCATAATAAGGGCATTCACCTCCGAAAGGTGAAACTTGGTCTTTTTTCCTCCTCCAGTGGATGAAATAACAAGTGCATACACATGGAGGTGCAGAGATTTTAACTACGCTCCCTGATTTCTAATGGGACTGCATGATTTAATCAAGGCTACTTAAAATATGCAAGTTAACACAACCTATTACCTGTACACATAATTGGTTATATTACATTTATAAAATAATTTTTTTTTTCAGAAAACTTTGGCATCCCGTTAACTTGACCACACATACACAGAACAGTTGAGGATGTAGATACCTAAAGAAGCATGCTCACAATAAAAATCACGGGCATACTGATCTATTCCAGCACAGAGTCCATAAAAAACAACCAGGGACTGGAGCATCTGTCATACAAGAAAGGCTGAGAGAGCCGCAACTGTTTAGCCTTGAGAAGAGAAGGCTCAGGGTGAGTCTGTAAAAAAGTACATCAGACACTTCTCAGTGGTGCCCAGTGAAAGGATAAGAGGCAATGGGCACAAACTGAAATGCAAGAAATTCTACTTAAATGTAAGGGGTTTTTTATTATTATTTTTTAAATACTGTGGGGGGGGTCACATGCTGGGTGAGGCTGACCTGAGAGGTGGTAGCATCTCTGTCCTTGGAGATGCTCTAAATTCAATGTGAAAAAGCCCTGAGCAGCCTGCACTAATTGACTCCACTTTGAGCAGGGTGGTGGGATCAGAGCAGAGATCCCTTCCAATATCAATTTTATGTTTCTATGTTCAATACATGATCAAATGTCTGCCATGAGGATGGAGGAAGTAATTTAACCCCTATAACATTATACTGCATACTTATTTAATTATTTGAATCAACTTTTCCTTGTCAATGTACAGCTAACCATCAATGTGTCAAGATAGGCCAGTGTGCTTTCTAGCTTTGCCCTGTGAATCCATAAACACTATCAAAGTATTTATGACAAATAACTGGACACTACCAAAGTATCCTCATATCGAAATAAACTGCTTACACACACCAAGAGATCTAAAACAAGATTATTATTTCTCAAGCTTTTTTAAAATCCAGTTTTTTTACTTGATTTTGTGTAACTGCCAAACTAGGAACAGCTTAGTCCCCCAGAGTGGGGAAGGAGCAACTGTGTGAGCACACACAGTTCCACTGCTTAATGATCTTGCCTGCCACAGATTCAAAACACACTGACCTGCTCCTAACATTTTTGCAGGAAACTTTTACATTACTTGTAGAAATAATAATCCGCAGTTTAAGATTATGAACTACAGATAGGGAAGATTAAAAACCTTACTGATTATCAACCCAGGCATGGATCTGAATGTAGACTTGGCTCAGCTAGAAAGCCTCGGGGTTGTGGGACAGAAGGAAAAACGTGCCAAACCCTGAACTCAAAGCAGCACAAACGGTGTGCTGCTATTACTAATTTAAAAGTACATTTTGGTTAAAAGAATCATCAATAAGAATTAATGCTTTTTAGCAGCATAGTAATTTTGGTAGTTGTAGTTTCCTATAACTGAAGATGTAAGAACATAAGAAGAAAGTGTTTTGTAACATTGTCAATCTTCATGGGGATGCCCCCCTT